TGTTAAACACTTAAACTTTCAAGTTATTTTTCGAGAAATTTTTTTTTTTTTGTGCAGTTAGTCTGTACGAACTGACTTTAGTATGGACGAACTGAAGAAAATTTTGAAAATCTGTATGGTTAGTACGTACGAACTGCATGTACAAATTGAGTAAAGTGCAGGTTCGCCTGTACGAACCTGAGTTCGTTCGGGACGAACTAAACAAAATTTTTGCCCGAGAGCATCGTCTAGGGACAAAATTAATTATCGTTTGTACGCTCGGGTCCAGCGAGCTTCGTCCCGGGACGAATGGGAAACATCGTCTAGACGATCGAGATCTTTAAATAGATGATTTGAGATATTTTTGAAGAAAGAGAAAGCTGGAGAGAGAAATAGAATGAAAGAGAAGAGGAAAGCTTGGTTTTGGAGGTCGTGGAGCGATTTTCGTTTGACGCCGCTGTTAGAAGAATGGTTTTCTAGCTGTAAGGAATCCGAATTCTATTTCTGATTTCGAAGATTTCATGTTTTGATATTTTTCTTCTCAATTTTGTGTTTTCGTTATCGAAAAACGTGCATAACTTTGTATGGACAAAACTTTTACTGCGTAACTTTTGGTATGTTGTTGAAATAATGATTTTGCACGATTTGAGTATTTTCTAGAATGTTTTCACTGGATATTTTGAGTTCTGTGGGATTAGTATCGAATAGGAAATTATATGGATGTCAAAAAATAGTGTTTCAATACAATAAAAGCTTTGAAATTATGTTTTACAAGATTTCTAGTAATTTTGTAATTTTTTGAAACTGTGTATTTTGATCATGTTTGAGATTTCTGTCGACTGTATGATATTTAAATGATTTTCTTCAATTAAATTAAATTGTGTTTGTTGATTGCAATGTATTAATGAGATGTATATAAATGTGGATATATGATTGAAATACTATTATATTACTGAAAGACAAGTAAGGACTGGTTGAACCGCTGGTTGAATATTGACCTGTACATGATGGTGGGCCGACTGGCTTTTTCCTTTAAAAAGAGTTTGGTGTTATCCTCTACTGATCACGTCATTACTGATGGGAGTTATAAGGAGATTACTGCGCCGATGGGCAAAAGTGATGACTCTATTTACTGAGCTAACGGATTACTAACATCGATACTAACATTGAAAAACGCCTTAATAACCAGTGATTGTACTTGTTAAGTAAGACTACTGTACTGGAATGCATGTGTAAAATATTATACTTATGATTTCTTTATGGATTTATAGATATTAATTGATTTATTGATATCAATGGATTTATTAATATTCAATTGATTTATTGATACTGAATGGATTTACTGACGGATTTATGAGTTTACTGTCACTGCACGATTTCATTGATATTGCATACTGTTTACGTCACTGGATCGTTATTAATATTAATACAGATACTGATACTACTGATTCATTGTACTGATCTTATAGCACGTGATACACCGAATACTGACTGATACATATGATACACTGATACATGTGATACACCGTGCACATGATATAGAATATGCTTTTACTGTATTAATTTGATGGTTTTATATGATTTCATACTGATTGTCATACCGATTGATATTATTGACCGGAGATTATTTCTTTATTCAATAATTTGATTGATTATATTGATACAATATTGATTTAACTAATATTACTAATACGATGATTTTCTCTATGGATTTGACCGGTATTTTAAGATATGATGGAATTGACGTATGTACTAATTTATTGAGCATTAGGGATTTTTTTACTGTTTATAGATTCTCCTATCGATGACTGTGAATTTTATTGATTATGCATTGATTATGTGAAGCTTTAGTAATTAATAATGTAGAATATTATGATTTAATGAATTAAATGATATTTTCAATATCTCATATTCTTAATTTATTCTATATAATTGATACGTTATCATGAAATTAAATTATCTTAATTGGGCATGAATCTCGAGGCAAAATCAGTTCGAAAACTTCAAAAATTAAATTTAAGAGCATATGAACTCCGATTTGGCAAGCTTACAGTCAAACTGAGCTTCTCGGAAATACAAATCCAACGAAACCAAATTCAACCCAATCCGAGCCCAAATGGGTCCGAATCAAGGACCCGAAGCGCTGTTGGAAGGTTCAAACCGTAATTTGAGTTACCAAACGGTCTCCGATTTTAACGAGCTTATACTCGAATCGAGCGGCTCGACGAGACAAATCCAACGAGCCCAAG